GAGTCAAAAGTAATCTGAAGACGCCACAGCGCCCCATGCCGTCACTCCCCTAGCACTAAGGAAAAGCTGACCTAGTACTTTTGCTTCCTTGCCACTTCCTCGATGAAGTAAAGCAGAATGTTTGATTCTTGCTGTCTTAAGCATAGACAACAATGTCCACTATCTTTACTATGGTAATAAAGAGGGAGCAGGATTTTCCTTAATTGTCCTGCTAAAGTAAGAGATGTACTGTCTCTTATTAAACTACAATAAACACTTAAGAGAAGTGTGATCAGCTTCTTTAGTGATAAGATTGTGAACAATAAAGACAAATCTTGTGGAACATAGTGTACCAGTGTGCGTATTCCTAGACTATGGAAGACGTGGACATCCAAGGAAACTTCAGCTTCTGTCAAGTCACCGATATCTGTCGAAGGTGTGAAGAACACCATAGCTCACGCTACAAGAGCAAGGTAGGTTACGAATTTCTTGTAGTACGGGGGACTGCGCAGTTCTTGAGTCGCAAGGAGTTTGTAATCAACCTATAGTCGGCAGTGAGGTGCGGACTTTTGAGTCCAAACAAGTATGTAATTTGTCAGCCATCAGTGAATGAAATATGCTGACCTAACACCCCCTAGGGGTAATTTATAATCTTACAAATTATAAATCTTTACAGCCCGTTGAGAGATGACTTTGACAGCTTCTCAAGACCTCGTCTGCAGGGGCGGCTGTGCAGGCGATGAGCTGTCTTTCTAAGTTAAGTACAAACTCTTTAAACTTAGCTAGTAATGCCATTTCTCAACATATGATTAAACTACACTTTGCAACACTGCACTGCAAGGAGCAGTGGTCAACTTGACCACTTCGCATACTCGTACGGCATCTGTGATCAATTACTCACTGTAGCAGTAAACAAGATGCTTGCCCCTTCTGAGAGGGCTGGGCCCCTCAGGGCTGAAAGGGGCTCAAGGGGCTGAAGGGGGCTGATACCCCCCTCCTGGAGAAAATTTCTCCACACTGCCCTCTGTAGGCTCACTCAGGTCAGTGGGAGGCTGAGCCCATTCGCTCTCACTCCTAGGCCGACCCACTTGACAGACACAAGTGCTCCCCCTCCACGGACTAGCTTGCGGTCACTCCCTCACACTGCCCCTTGTGTACTCACTCCTATCCAATTAAAGCCAAACTAGTCCACGGCCGTATCATTGCTACCTACGCTACCTTCATCGGCACTAAACCGCTGTTCAGCAGCAATAACAGCAATAACAGTGGTGACCATACCCTGTCATTAACACTTCCTGTAACCATACCCTCTCCCTTATACTTCCTGTAACCATACCCTGTTCTTTATACTTCCTGTAAGTATACCCTGTCCCTTACACTTCCTGTAACAATACCCTGGTCATTATACTTCCTTTAACCATACCCTGTCCCTTATGTTTCCTGTAACAATATCCTGGTCATTATACTTCCTGTAAACATACCCTGTCTTTTATACTTCCTGTACCATACCCTGTCTTTTACACTTCCTGTAACAGTACCCTGGCCATTATACATAGTGTAACCATTCACTGTCCCTTGTACTTCTTATAACCATACATTATTCCTTATATTTGCTGTATCCATACACTGCCCCTTATACTTTCTGTAACCGTACACTGCCCCTTATACTTTCTGTAACCATACTCTGTCCCTTATACTTCCTGTAACCATACTCTGTTCCTTATACTTCTTATAACCATACACTGTTCCTTATACTGCCCATGACCATTCACTGTCCCTTATACTTACCATAACAATACACTGCTACTTATACTTTCTATAACCTTTTACTGCCCCTTATACTTCCTATAACCATACATTGTTCCATATACTGCCCGTAACCATACACTGTTTATTATACTTCCTATAACCATACACTGTTCCTTATATATGAGCCACTTCTCCGCTCATATGCCGTATTCTATTCAAGATTGATGGTCTGACCACATCGACTCAAGGTTGAGCGACTGTTTACCTCATTCTCCTCCTGTTCTTCACGATTCTCCTTTGTATGGACTGATGAAGCCACTGTGTGGCGAAACATTTCCTCAATAAAGATACCCAAGAGTTGCACATGTGTCTAATTTATCAACGTGTCGGTTCTCTGAACCATTCATCTACAATACTGTTCCTTATGTTTCCAGTAACCAGAGAATTTTCTCAGTACTTTCAGTAATCGAATAATTTTCTCTTTAATTCCTGCATCCGGAGAATTTTCTGTCCTTGTAACCGGACAGTTTTGCTGTACTTCTCCTAATCTGATAATGTTACCTATACTGCAGCCTTCCATTGTTCCATTTACTTCCTGTAATCGTACATTGTTCTCTTTGCATCCTGTAATTGGACATCTTTCATTATAATACCGTAACTTTACTATTAAGCTAACTACTCAGAAAAAAAATAGAATTAGCTATAATGTACTTATTTTTTCAAAGCAGAGAGCCTCTATTAACCTTGGCAAGGTCTTGTGATAGCTGCCTCGCCCATCAAGTGTCATGCTGTAACAAGCACTCCTGTGCTGAATCATCCCTTACATATTAATCTATTAATATGACCAGTGTTGAGTCATCCTTTAAATGCAACATTACTAACATGACTAGTGTTGAGTCATCCCTAAAACAACGTTACTAGCACGACCAGTGTTGAAGCATTCCTAAAACACAACACTACTAACATAACCAGTGTTGAATCATTCCTAAAACAGAACACTACTAACATTACCAGTGTTGAATCATTCCTAAAACACAACACTACTAACATTACCAGTGTTGAATCATCCCAAAAACACAACACTAAATACTGACACTTAGTTCTGATCATTCTTTCAGTAGATACTTTGTTGTTCTCAACTATAACATTCAGTTTGAATTTCTACAACCTTAAGAATTAATCATGTCTGACGTTTAAAATGAAATTACCATTCCTTTTGATCTTGTCCTCTCCTGTTTTAAAATCTCCTTTTGCTGTCTATCTGTGTTTTCGTGTCTTGTCTGTTTCTTTGTTGAATGTTCTATACCTTAAAATATTCCTCCTGACGTTTAAATGATTACCATTCCTTTTGTCTTGTCCTCTCTGTTTTATTCTCCTTTTGCTGTCTTATGTGTTTTCTTCGTCTTTTCTGTCTTCTATGTTTGCTTCGTCTTTCTATCCTCTGTGTTTTTGTTGCCCACCTGTCTTCTGTGTTTTCTTAAATTTCCCGTCTTCTGTGTTTTCTTCGCCTTCCTGCTGTGTTTTCTTCACTTTTCCTGTCTTTCCGTGTATCCTCACTGGCTTGTTTTTTTTACCTACCAAGAAACCAGTAGACCCACTGCAGCGCTCCGTTTGTCTTTTGTTCCTTTGTGTGCCTTTTTGTGAGTCCCTTTGTGCGTCTTTTTGTGTACCCCTTTGTTTGCTTGTTTGTGTTACTCTTTGAAACACGTGTTTAGAGCTGGAGTTATCTGGCTTCTCCATTCACTTGAGATGCGTAATTTATCTCAGTTACTATTACTACTTTTGTTTCTGCTACTACTCTTACTACTGCTACTACTCGTTACTACCACTACTACTGCCTCTACTACTCTGGGGAAACTTATGTGATAAGAACACCAGAATGCATGCTTTAAAAAATACATGACAATTAGGAGGAACACTTATCTTCGATGACAGCTCAGAGCCCTCCCAGCCGCGGTTCAAGGAATCTCCTCCGAAGTGGCTGTAGTTCTCCCACATCGGCTCTTGATAACGAGTAACTAATGTATATTCCAGTATAACATAAAACTTACAATTTAGTGGATTTCTCGTATCTGTTGTTAGTTGTTGGTGTAGTCATTATGCAGTTGGTTAGTCATGTCTTATCATAACACTCACTAAACTTTTCTGCTGCAGCGGAATAGTGAAAAGAGAGGCCAGAAAAAGACTTACCAGGGGTGTTAGTAGCGTACCCCGTGATAACGCTGCACATGATGTCTTGAACAATGTAATGCTGGACTGGTTGAGTTACTCGGGAATGTTGCACCAGTGTTCGGTCACTGACAACGCGCCGGGTACACTACCGTCACTTCGCTATCACCTGTTCAGGAGTTACATAGAATTATCCACGGTAGGGAGAATGTTGGTAACATGGTATTTTTACTTCCGTTCTCCCCGCTAGAGAAATGACACGGAGTCACTAAGTTTATACGCTCGTGAACGTGGCTTTATAGTGGGATTTTGTTACTCGTATTTTACACTAGAGTAACTCCCTAGTGTTCTGGCGATTGTCAGTATGATCAAGAGTCTATGAACGCATGTCACTGCTGTTTCTTTGTTCTTCAGCGTGAGGGACTACGTACGCACTTGCAGGTGCCCTCATTGACACATTCACGCCTTGAATACGAATCGCAATCTGATGCTCCTTCCCAAAACACTTCTTTGTCCAGAGATGTATTGCTGACTTTGGCTTATAAACATTCATTGCCAGCCTTTACAATAGGACACAACCTAGAATCATTGCTTCTTGGTGATTTAGGTGCGGGCAGGGAGCTGTAATACCCCTGGCTTGATTATCAAGTATGAGGCACTTTTTTTTTTATTTTTAATGGTAACGGGAAATAACAGTTCCCCTGGGCTTCCACTCGCATGTAAAAGTGGCCGGGTACTCTTGTAATTCCTCGTCCAACATATGTTCCTGATAACTCTCGGTGTGAGAACGACGAAGCAAGACTGTTCACAACCCTTTCTGAGAAGGCTAGCCCTCTCTGAGAGGGCTACCCCCTTTGAAGAGGGTCATTACCCCCCTTCAAGAGGGAGATATCGCCCCTTTCATAAACTGGAGATTTTTCTCCACAACAACTGCTACTACTATTACTAACATTCACCTGTTTAGCGTTCTAGCATTTTCGTCACGTAACTTGCCCAGGACGTACAGAAACGTCAACTAAAGGTTTCCTCTCCTAAAGTGTGGATTAACTGTGAATACCCTAGATGCCTTCATTGTGCTGAGGTAACACGCTTCGCCCTTACAGGATCAGCTGATCAGGGTTCGTGGATACCCGGCTGAGGTGCATCATGTGGTGACTGAGGACGGATACATCCTGACGATTCATCGCATCCCGCACGGTCGCCGCGTTGCTCCACAGGAACACCAGGACCAGCAACTGGGGGGTGACCTCAACCTCATCAGAAAGAGAGGTACGCAAGCCAACATGAGCACGTTTAGTAAGAAAATTGCGTTTTCAATGTGATTCCCGTTTTCAGTGTCGTTCCCATTTTCAATGTGGTCCTGCTTTCCTTGTGACACTATTTTCAATTGATTCCATTTCCTATGTGATCCTGTTTTCAATGGGATTACTTTTTTGTGTCACTTCTCAATGTGATTGCATTCTCTATGTGATCCACTTTTAACATAAACCCATTTTTAATGTTATACAGTTTTGAATGTAATCCTATTTTCAGCCTGATCCAGTTTTTAATTTAAACCGTTGTAAGAAAATTGTTAGCTTGCATATTATTTTTAAACAAATAAAGCTGAACTCAACAAATATGCAGAGATGTTTTCCGTACTTAGAATCGGTGGAACAAATATAGAAGACAACTATATATACTAACTTGTATCTCCTGTACGATTACAAGTTTTACTAATATTGTTGCTCTCTTGTAATATGCAAGTTTTCTATAAAATTGTGCAGGTACGGCACAAGCTCAGTACTCGTACTGATGAACCAATAATATTAAATTTGTTTTATGTAAGTCATAAAAGATTTATTTTTTCAGCATCCATCCACAGCAATGAGAGCAGTTCCAACAGCTACGTCAGCAGCACTAACAGCAGCAGTGGTGGTGGCCGACGTGTAGTGTTTATCCATCATGGCTTCCTGTCATCCAGTGCGGATTTTGTGATGAACGACCCAGACCAGGCACTTGGTAAGTCAGGTATCATGTGTGTGTCCTAGCCTAATTGTACTGAACTCATTATGAATAAACAGAAAGTTGGATAGATAACTCGAACCAGGACCCTGTTGGTAGCAGGTCAAGAACTTCACAACTGAGCTACGAGGCTTCTAATGGGAAGAAACTAAATGCAAAACTTTCGTTCTTGTTTCTGCCAGCAGCACTGTCTATGACCCTACTTTCTTCTCACAACAAAGTAGCTTTCGCTCTGGTTTGGTAATAGAGTTGCGGACGAGTGGAACAAACTCCTTAGTACCGTCAATGAAGCTAAAACTTTGTGTATTTTTAAAAACAGGTTAGACAAATACAATACACGTAACTAGTGTGCTCTGTGTCCTTGGCTACGTGAGATTGTGATGATGGCTTCCCTTGACTATGAGCAGCTATATCTCCAGCTTAAAGTAGAATTAACGGAAGCAAGAAGAGAAATTCAACGACTGATGGGATATGTGCAAGGATTATCCCCGGAATAATGTCGCCGATGATCGGACCAACGAATGGATGATAGTCGGAACTGAAGGAACGAAGATGAAGATGAAGAAGGTCCAGGAGACTGCTCTGAAAACCAGCAACTCTTGTTTCCTTGTTAACAGACGAATGTGAATCGACAATCCGTGATCTTCCAATGAAGATAGTTCCAACAAGGACAATTGTTAAGGATACAGTGAAGCCAACCAGTGAAGACATCCTAGCGAAAACCATCTCTACTAAGACCGTCGAGAACGTAATGAACACCGCCAGTAAAGATAAGAGCATTGTTTTAATTGGGGACAGTTAGATTAAGTTTATGGACAGAACTTTTTGTTTTAGAGATTTGAAAAAGAGGCAGAGGGTATGTTTTTCTGGCCTGGGATGAAGGACACTGTTAGCCGTCTAGACAACATAATGAGAGGTAACGGAAGCAATCCTATTATCTGTCTCAATACTGGAGGCAACGATGTTGGCAGACGTAGGCGTGAGGACCTGATTAGCAGGTATAGGTCAGCAATAGAAATAATTAGGAGTAAGGGAGGGAACCCAGTGATATGTGGTATTTTGCCAAGGAGAGGAGTTGGAAATGAATGGTTGTCCAGGCCAACTGGTGTCAACTGCTGGCTGGAAAAACACTGAGGAAAATGCAGCAACATTCATTGATAACTAGGACCTCTTCTATGGCAGAAATGACGTGCATGCCAGGGATGGGGTTCACTTATCTAGGTCTGGGATGGGGGCACTGTCCGATGCAGTGGAGGGAGCTGTTAGGGCTTTAAACCAGAAATAGTTAGTGGTATGGGTTTTGGGGGGAAAAACAGTGAAGTCCCAGTGTAGTAATACTGTGAGTTTTAGGAAAACCAGTAATAGGCAGAATGAGGTGGATAATGAAAAGCCAGTGGCACTAGGTGATGAGGACAATAATAGGTATAGTGGAAAAACAGAAATGAGCAGGAAGAGAAAAGACAGAGGATGGTCTTTATACTTATATTACAATAATAGTTGTAGTGCTAGGAATAAGATGAACGAGTTGAGATTAGTTGCAAGTGCGGGTAACATTATGCATTTTGCATAACTATGACGTGGTTTAATACGAAAAATCGAGACATGCCTGCTGAATGTCACATACAGGGTTTTAAATTGTTTCAAGTAGACAGAAGTATCGGGAAGGGGGGTGGGGTGGCACTGTATGTCCGAGACCGTTTGAACTGTTGCATTAAAACAGGTATAAAGTCTGAAATAATACATACAGAGTCTGTCTGAATAGAATTTTCAGAGGGGCATGAAAAACTGATTTAAGCGTGATATACCGTTCCCCAAACTTAGATAAGGACCAAGGGAGACTACTTTAGGAGGAAACTGTTAAGGCCACAAGGCACAATAACGTAGTAATTCTAGGGGAGTTAACGTTTATACGATTGATTGGAATTCCTTAACAGGGAATTTAGAATCTAACGACTTCTTAGAGGTAGTTCAGGATTGTTTTTGAAGAAGTTTGACAGAACCTACAGGGATAATAACCTGCTTGACTTGGTTCTGGCAAACAAAGAAACCCTTGTTAATAATTTGGAAATTACAGAGGAACTTGGCGCAAGTGACCACAAATCAATTACATTTAACACTGCATGGAAGTATGATAGTAGGGATAACTCAGTAACGATCTCAGATTTTCGGTTAGCAAATTATAATGGGATTAGAGAACACCTATCATCTGTGGACTGGGGTAAAGAAGTGAGTTATCAGCATGACAGGTTTCTAAATATTATACATGCTGCCTAAAAATCGTTTATTCCATATAAAGAAATAAGATCTAATAGAAATGACCCGAAATAGATGAATAGGCTCATATATCTTTTAGGGCAAAAGAAAAGAATTTATAGGCTCATCAAAAGAGGTAAGGATCATTTTATAAATCGATATATTCACATTATGAGGAAGGTTAAAATGGGAATAAGAAAAGCATAAAGAAACTATGAAATTATAGTTGCTAGGGATTCGAAAGCTAACCTGAAAGGTTTTCCCAGTTTTATAGAACAAAAGTTTGAGAAAAGATAGGTCCCCTTAATAATAATTCTGAACATCTTATTGACAAGGAGAATGGAATGTGCTCGATGATTATTTTCTCTCAGTTTTCACACAGGAGGACACTAACAATATCCCAACAGTTAATTTTTACAGTGGGCCTGAAGAAGATAAATTTTGTAATATCACAGTCACTGGCGATATGATTATCAAACAAGTAGAACGACTGAAGCAAAATAAATCCTCTGACCCTGATGAGCTTTTTCTAAGGTTCTTAATGAGTGCAAAATAGAACTTCGTGAACCATTGACTAATATTTTTAACATGTCATTTTAAACAGGTGTAGTGTCTAATATGTGGAAGATGGCCAATGTAATTCCTACTTTTAAAGCAGGGGACAAGTCGTTACTGTCAAATTACCGGCCAATAAGCCTGACCACAACTGTAGGCAAATTACTAGATTCAATTACAGCTGATATTATAAGAAACCATATTGATAAGCAGAATTTGATTAATGATACTCAGTATGGATTCACGAGAGCCCGTTCCTGCCTAATTTACTTTCTTCAGTAAAACTGTTGACTCCCATCAGACCTCTGCACATGGAGTTCCCGTTGGGCTGGGCAACGGGCTGTGACCTCCTCATGTCTAGCATACTTCCCTTCTGATGTGTGACACACGAGACCATGAAGTCCGAATTAATCCGCCGTAGCTGCCGCAAATACACCTATGTTCGGTGAGGATTGGGGCTGCTAGACGAAGAGCAACACCCGTCCGAATGGCCTGTGGGTCGAGCCGAGTGCCCAGGGAGGAATTAGGAACAGCTAGAAGGAAATCTCCTGAGTGTGGTGCCCTCACCGCCAGGAGACGAGCTTTGCCCTTTCCTGAAGCGTTGGTGAGCATTACGTTGGCGATTTTTTCATGATCGGTTTGTCCCAGTGGGTCTCTTTGTGATCTTTGAGAGGAGCTCGTCAACTGGAGGAGTCTGTAAAGGTGTCCCACCGCATGGCTGCTTTATTGATCCTTGTGTCTTGAGCTCCTACCACGTCTCTCAAGCGTTTGGGGACAATCTTCTTGACTAATCCACTGGAAGACAAGCACAAAGACAGAAATGCAGGTAAAGCTACCTGCATTGCTTTGCGCACTCCTATACCTCCCAGTCGCACTGGGAGGGTTGCCTGATCCCATTGCCGATCCTCTAGTAACAGATTCAGTGCCTTCTTAAACGTTAATCTCAGGTGTGCGTCATATTCGTCGAGTGTTGGATTATCAAAAGAGGGTGCGCACCTCACGAAGTGAGTCTTGACATAGTAAGACACCTTGTGAAAAGATACAGGGCATCTTATTCTCCCCTACATTCTCTTCAGGTCATTCAATTTGTCCTTGAGGACCGTGTCAATGGCCTGGTGACGCAGCAGTGCTCCCAAGAGGGTACTGTTGAATGGAGTTGTAGTAGAGACTTCCAAGAGGATTGTTCACACAGCATTGATTATTTCCTGGCTTGTTGTGATGATTTCACATTTGGAGGGATTGAGGATGAGTCCCAGGGCTTCTCCCTGTGTCTTCACCAGTTGTAGGTCCTCCAGCAAGGACTCTTCGGTACATGCCAGAGTGCCATCATCCACGTACCAAATGTTGAACTCGCTGCATAGGCTGGAAGTTAGTTTTCCTACTGCCAAGCAGAAGAAAAGTGGAGCGAGTGGATCACCCTGCTGAGCACCCTCTGATGAGGGAATTTTATGTTTGCCAAACAAAAGAATTGAGGGTTTGCTGTAGCCAGCTGAAATGAACGGCCAGCAAGACCACACCTCTCTTCACCATATTATATATATATATATATATATATATTATATATATATATATATATATATATATATATATATATATATATATATATATATATATATATATTATATATATATATATATATATATATATATATATATTATATATATATATATATATATATATATATATATATATATATATATATATAATATATATATATATATATATATATATATATATAAATATTACATCACGTTCAACTGATAAACCTTGGGGTTATATCAATGCCATTACCCTGATTCCGTACCTCATTTATAAAAAAATTATTACTTTCATTGTTTTCACATTCCTGGATGTAAACCAGTTTTTGCCTAACGCTTAATGCCACCATTAGTATTATGATGATAGTGCTGAGGACCAAATACATGTTATCATCTACACTGTTGCTAGTATTATCAGTGCTTCTCTAAACCCGACCATCTCCTCCTGACGAAGGGTTCATACTGGCTGACGCTGGCTACGACGTCTGGCTCGGCAACAACAGAGGCAACTTCTACGGTCGACGACACATCCGTTTCTCACCCAAACAACCTGAGTTCTGGGACTACAGGTAAACAAGGCTGGGTTATTGAACTATATACAGGTGCTCAACTATTTGTTTCACCTATTAGCAGCTACAGAGTACAAGTCTTGCTTCCTGCCCATGCTTCTCAACCAGTTCTGAAGAGTCACGCTAGGCTGATATCACATTCAACACACACACACACATGTAGTATATATATATATATATATATTATATATATATATATATATATATATATATATATATATATATATATATATATATTATATATATATATATATTTATATATATATATATATATATATATTATATATATATATATATATATTATTATATATGTTATGCAATAAGATCACATTAAACAGGTGATTTTCAGAATATGCAAACAACCACTGTGAAAGAATAGAGAAATTCCAAGCGCTTTCGTGACTACTCACATTATCAAGGAACTACGAAAGTAAAGCATCAAAGGAATCTAGCCAACACCTCACTATCAGATCCATATAATATATATATATATATATATATATATATATATATATATTATATATATATATATATATATATACATAAATAACAAAAAAAGGCACAATACCGTGACTGGAACGATACACAAATAACCCGTACATAGAAGAGAGGAGCTTACGAGGACGTTTCGGTCCGACTTGGACCATTTACAAAGTCACACTAACCAGAAGTGGAGCAGGACGGCTATATATAGGCAGGAAGAGGTAGTGGTGGTAGTAGTAATACTAGTAGTAGTGGTAGTAGTAGTAGTAGTACTAGTAGTAGTAGTAGTAGTAGTAGTAGTAGTAGTAGTAGTAGTAGTGGTGGTAGTAGTGGGAAACCAAGGAGGAGGAGCAAGTCAAATATAAAGAAAGGGGAGCACTGCAAGGGAGCTAGGTGCTCATAGAGGGAGAGCAAGTGCACAGAGGTGGGGGGAAGGGGAAGTGATGAAATAAATAATGAAGGAACAGAAACACGCGACAGAAGAAAGACAAAAAAGGAAAGAGGAAATGGGAAGAGGGAGAAGAAGAAAAATGAGGAATCAGGTTAAGTCACCGGTGTTCTGAAGTTTGGAGCATTTTACAATGTAGTGGGAGAGGAAGGCATTACAGAGACGAAGCCAGGACTAAGATGCATACAAGGAAAGTTGTGTATTAGAGAGGATTCAACAAGACGGCGACTGTTAAAGTTGGAAGTAGGGAAGACAGTTTTAGCAGAAGACCAGTCTATAGGATAGCTCTGATCTCTGAGGTGACAGAAAAGAGCATTGTTAGTGTCGGCAAGCCTAACACTATTTTTGTGCTCCCTAAGTCTGTCAGAAAGAGATCGGCCAGTTTCTCCAAAGTATTGAAGAGAACAGGAGGAGCAAGAAATAGAGTAGACACCAGGAACATCTGTAGAGGGAGGAGAGGTATGAACGAGATTAGTGCGAAGAGTGTTAGTCTGGCGGAAAGTAAGCTTGATGTCTAAGTAACGGAGAGAATTGTTAAGATTAGAAAGACCGGAAATGTAGGGAAGGCAGAGGACAGAAGAGTTCCCAGGAGTAGAGAGTTTGGGAGAGAAGAAATTACGTTTAGCACGGAGAGGAGCAGAGTCTATGAAATGGGAAGGGTAGCCAAGACGGGAAAACGAATTATGAAGACTGGAAATTTCTGCTGGAAGGAACTGAGGATCACAGATGCGGAGGGCATGGAGAAAGAGGGAGATAAGAACACTTTTCTTGACAGGGCAAGCATGATAGGAAAAGTAGTGAATGTACATGCCACTGTGCATAGGTTTTCGGTAAACGGAAAAGGAAAAACCTGTATCTGAGTGGTTGACATGGACATCAAGGAAAGGAAGCAAGAAATAGATTCCCATTCAGCTTTAAACTTATGGAAGGGCAAGATTATTAAGAGCTTCAAGAAAAGGTTGGAAGAGATTGGAGTCATGACGCCACAGAGCAAAGATGTCATCCACATAGCGGAGCCAGAGTGAAGGTTGCACATCGATGGTAGGAAGAAGAACAGTCTCGAAGTATTCCATGTAAAGATTAGTAAGGACAGGAGAGAGAGGTGAGCCCATAGCGACACCGAAGGTTTGAGAATAATATTTCCCTTGGAAGGAAAAGGAATTAGAGTCCACACAGAGGCGGATAAGATCAAGAAAGACTTCAATAGGTATAGGGAGGAAACCTTTCAAGGGCCTTCTCTCTAAGGAAATCAAGGACATCATCAAAAGGGACATTGGTGAAGAGGGACTCAACGTCAAGACTAAGCATCTTACAGGCTGGGAGAGAGCGAACCCGTTCAATGAAGTCTTGAGAGTGGTTAGTGTGGTTAGTCTGGTTAGTGTGACTTTGTAAATGGTCCAAGTCGGACCGAAACGTCGTCGTAAGCTCCTCTCTTCTATGTGCGGGTTATTTGTATATCGTTCCAGTCACGGTATTGTGCCTTTTTTGTTATTTATGGACCCCGCATTAAGCGTCATATTCTCTCCAACTTTTTTAATGTTCTTCCCTCTTTTAAACCCCTCTTTCGATCTTACGAGGCTGCTCTTATTGCTACCAGGCGTCGTAAGAATCAGCTTCGCTTCCTACGTGACTGTCTTGCTGAACAAGTTCTGCCACCTTCCTTCTCCCATTTCCTGAAACCCAACCCACTGGGCACTCCCTTTCCTGATCATGCCCGTCTCCTACTTCAACAGCTCATTCTTTCTACTAAGTCACAGGTTGATGATGCCTTCTTTACTTTCCGTCAACGTCAACGTGCTCTCTTTGAGGCTCTACCGCAAGATCTCTGTAACCTTCTCTCTAACATTGCGTTTGACACTGCTCGCCTGAATACACAAATTCATTCTTCTAAACTACAGAATAAATTTCAACGTCTCATCTCAGCTAGCCCTTGGTCTAAATTCTTTCTCACTGACTGTGTTACTAACTTGTCTTCTCTCTCACTCTCTCAGTATGAGCTTGAACTTCTTGGTTTTGGCCTTTCCTTTGCCACTTCGCCTACTCCTCGCGCTGGTATTGCCCTGATTAGCTCTTTTGATTCCTTTCGTCATTCTCGATCCCGTAATCTTCCTGACTTGTCCACTTTTCGTGGCGCCCTCCTTCCTGCTCTTGTTAGTCTGTTTTCTAAGAATCACCACCTTCCACGCCGTTGCCAACTTGCCCTTTCTTCTCTTAAATCTAACACTAACATTGTCATACTATCTTCTGACAAAGGTAATTCGGTACTTATCCTTGATCGCGAGGATTACCTCCGTAAAGCTGATGTCTTGCTCTCTGACTCACGTACCTACACTCCTCTCGTTTCCAACCCTCTTGATCGCATCAAGAGAACTTTCAACAAGAAACTAAGGACTCTCTCCGACCTCTGTCCACCTGACTTTGACCTTGTTCAACGGTTTCGTGTCATCTGTCCCTCTCTTCCCTATTTCTATGGCCTTCCCAAAACTCATAAACCTGATATTCCTCTTCGTCCTATCATATCCTCTAGAGGTTCTGTCTCTTATTCTCTTGCTTCTTGGTTGGCCAAAACCCTCACTCCCTTTCTTGGTACTTTTTCTCCTGCCCACCTCCGTCACTCTCAAGACTTCATTGAACGGGTTCGCTCTCTCCCAACCTGTAAGATGCTTAGTCTTGACGTTGAGTCCCTCTTCACCAATGTCCCTTTTGATGATGTCCTTGATTTCCTTAGAGAGAAGGCCCTTGAAAGGTTTCCTCCCTATACCTATTGAAGTCTTTCTTGATCTTATCCGCCTCTGTGTGGACTCTAATTCCTTTTCCTTCCAAGGGAAATATTATTCTCAAACCTTCGGTGTCGCTATGGGCTCACCTCTCTCTCCTGTCCTTGCTAATCTTTACATGGAATACTTCGAGACTGTTCTTCTTCCTACCATCGATGTGCAACCTTCACTCTGGCTCCGCTATGTGGATGACATCTTTGCTCTGTGGCGTCATGACTCCAATCTCTTCCAACCTTTTCTTGAAGCTCTTAATAATCTTGCCCCTTCCATTAAGTTTAAAGCTGAATGGGAATCTAATTTCTTGCTTCCTTTCCTTGATGTCCATGTCAACCACTCAGATACAGGTTTTTCCTTTTCCGTTTACCGAAAACCTATGCACAGTGGCATGTACATTCACTACTTTTCCTATCATGCTTGCCCTGTCAAGAAAAGTGTTCTTATCTCCCTCTTTCTCCGTGCCCTCCGCATCTGTGATCCTCAGTTCCTTCCAGCAGAAATTTCCAGTCTTCATAATTCGTTTTCCCGTCTTGGCTACCCTTCCCATTTCATAGACTCTGCCCTCTCACGTGCTAAACGTAATTTCTTCTCTCCCAAACTCTCTACTCCTGGGAACTCTTCTGTCCTCTGCCTTCCCTACATTTCCGGTCTTTCTAATCTTAACAATTCTCTCCGTTACTTAGACATCAGTTACTTTCCGCCAGACTACACCTTCGCACAAATCTCGTTCATACCTCTTCCCCTCTACAGATGTTCCTGGTGTCTACTCTATTTCTTGCTCCTCCTGTCCTCTTCAATACTTTGGAGAAACTGGCCGATCTCTTTCTGACAGACTTAGGGAGCACAAAAATAGTGTTAGGCTTGCAGACACTAACAATGCTCTTTTCTGTCACCTCAGAGATCAGAGCCATCCTATAGACTGGTCTGCTAAAACTGTCTTCCCTACTTCCAATTTTAACAGTCGCCGTCTTGTTGAACCCTCTCTAATACACAACTTTCCTTGTATGAATCTTAGTGCTGGCTTCGTCTCTGTAATGCCTTCCTCTCCCACTACATTGTAAAATGCTCCAAACTTCAGAACACCGTGACTTAACCTGATTCCTCATTTTTCATCTTCTCCCTCTTTCCCTTTCCTCTTTCCTTTTTTGTCTTTCTTCTGTCTCGTGTTTCTGTTCCTTCATTATTTATTTCACACTTCCCTTCCCCCCACCTCTGTGCACTTGCTCTCCCTCTATGAGCACCTAGCTCCCTTGCAGTGCTCCCCTTTCATTATATTTGACTGGCTCCTCCTCCTTAGTTCCCCACTACTACCACTACTACTACTACTACTACTACTACTACTACTACTACAACTACTACTACTACTACTACTACTATTACTACTACCACCACTACCTCTTCCTGCCTATATATAGCCGTCCTGCTCCACTTCTGGTTAGTGTGACTTTGTAAATGGTTCAGTCGGACCGAAACGTCGTTGTAAGCTCCTCTCTTCTATGTGCGGGTTATTTGTGTATATATACATGTATATCTATACAAACACTGATCTCTGGCTGAAGGAGACTCGAACCTACGAACCTTGGAACAAGGTACGCAGTGCTTTACCAACCTAGCTACACTGGTCCAATACCTTGGCGTCTAGCGTGAGCTAGACGTCGATCCAAAGCAGCCAGCTTTCAAGCAGGAGGCAGTGTTTGTGAATATTTCGCCTGTTCTTGCGAAATTCCTAGCATATATATATATATATAATATATTATATATATATATATATATATATATATATATTTATATATATATATATATATATAAATATATATATTATATATAATATATTTTTATATAATTTTTTTTTTTATCACACCGGCCGATTCCCACCAAAGGGAGGGTGCCCGAAAAAGAAAAACTTTCACCATCATTCACTCCATCACTGTCTTGCCAGAAGGGTGCTTTACACTACAGTTTTTAAACTGCAACATTAACACCCTCCTTCAGAGTGCAGGCACTGTACTTCCCATCTCCAGGACTCAAGTCCGGCCTGCCGGGTTTTCCTGAATCCCTTCATAAATGTTACTTTGCTCACACTCCACAGCACGTCAAGTATTAAAAACCATTTGTTTTCCATTCACTCCCATCAAACACGCTCACGCATGCCTGCTGGAAGCCCAAACCCTCGCACACAAAACCTCCTTTACCCCCTCCCTCCAACCCTTCCTAGGCCGACCCTACCCCGCCTTCCTTCCACTACAGACTGATACACTCTTGAAGTCATTCTGTTTCGCTCCATTCTCTCTACATGTCCGAACACCTCAACAACCCTTCCTCAGCCCTCTGGACAACAGTTTTGGTAATCCCGCCCTCTCCTAACTTCCAAACTACGAATTCTCTGCATTATATTCACACCACACATTGCCCTCAGACATGACATCTCCACTGCCTCCAGCCTTCTCCTCGCTGCAAACTTTTATCACCCCGCTTCACACCCCTATAAGAGCGTTGGTAAAACTATACTCTCATACATTCCCTCTTTGCCTCCAAGGACAAAGTTCTTTGTCTCCACAGACTCCTAAGTGCACCACTCACTCTTTTTCCCCCATCAATTCTATGATTTACCTCATCTTTCATAGACCCATCTGCTGACCGTCCACTCCCAAATATCTGAATACGTTCACCTCCTCCATACTCTCTCCCTCCAATCTGATATTCAATCTTCATCACCTAATCTTTTGTTATCCTCATAACCTTACTCTTTCCTGTATTCACCTTTAATTTTCTTCTTTTGCACACCCTACAAATTCATCCACCAATCTCTGCAACTTCCTTCAGAATCTCCCAAGAGCACAGTGTCATCAGCAAAGAGCAGCTGTGACAACTCCCACTTGTGTGTGATTCTTTATCTTTTAACTCCACGCCTCTTGCCAAGACCCTCGCATTTACTTCTCTTACAACCCCATCTATAAATATATTAAACAACCACGGTGACATCACACATCCTTGTCTAAGGCCTACTTTTACTGGGAAAAAATTTCCCTCTTTCCTACATACTCTAACTTGAGCCTCACTATCCTCGTAAAAACTCTTCACTGCTTTCAGTAACCTACCTCCTACACCATACACTTGCAACATCTGCCACATTGCCCCCCTATCCACCCTGTCATACGCCTTTTCCAAATCCATAAATGCCACAAAGACCTCTTTAGCCTTATCTAAATACTGTTCACTTATATGTTTCACTGTAAACACCTGGTCCACACACCCCTACCTTTCCTAAAGCCTCCTTGTTCATCTGCTATCCTATTCTCCGTCTTACTCTTAATTCTTTCAATTATAACTCTACCATACACTTTACCAGGTACACTCAACAGACTTATCCCCCTATAATTTTTGCACTCTCTTTTATCCCCTTTGCCTTTATACAAAGGAACTATGCATGCTCTCTCCCAAATCCCTAGGTACCTTCCCTTTCTTCCATACATTTATTAAATAATTGCACCAACCACTCCAAAACTATATCCCCACCTGTTTTTAACATTTCTATCTTTATCCCATCATGTATATATATATATATATATATATATATATATATATATATATATATATATATATATATATATATATAAATGTGTGTAATGGTAGAAAGTTGAAAGTGAACATAGAAAAGAGTAAGGTGATGAGGGTATCAAATGATTTAGATAAAGAAAAACTGGATATCAAATTGGGGAGGAGGAGTATGGAAGAAGTGAATGTTTTCAGATACTTGGGAGTTGACGGGGTCGGCGGATGGATTTATGAAGGATGAGGTTAATCATAGAATTGATGAGGGAAAAAAAGGTGAAATGGTGCGTTGAGGTATATGTGCAGTCAAAAAACGTTATCTAATGGAGGCAAAGAAGGGAATGTATGAAAGAATAGTAGTACCAACACTCTTATGTGGATGTGAAGCTTGGGTGGTAAATGCAGCAGCGAGGAGACGGTTGGAGGCAGTGGAGATGTCCTGTCTAAGGGCAATGTGTGGTGTAAATATTATGCAGAAAATTCGGAGTGTGGAAATTAGGAGAAGGTGTGGAGTTAATAAAGCATTAGTCAGAGGGGCAGAAGAGGGGTTGTTGAGGTGGTTTGGTCATTTAGAGAGAATGGATCAAAGTAGAATGACATGGAAAGCATATAATTCTATAGGGAAGGAAGGAGGGGTAGGGGTCGTCCTCGAAAGGGTTGGAAAGAGGGGGTAAAGGAGGTTTTGTGGGTGAGGGGCTTGGACTTCCAGCAAGCGTGCATGAGCGTGTTAGATAGGAGTGAATGGAGACGAATGATACTTGGGACCTGATGATCTGTTGGAGTGTGAGCAGGGTAATATTTAGTGAAGGGATTCAGGGAAACCGGTTATTTTCATATAGTCGGACTTGAGTCCTGGAAATGGGAAGTACAATGCCTGCACTTTAAAGGAGGGGTTTGGGATATTGGCAGTTTGAGGGATATGTTGTGTATCTTTATACGTATATGCTTCTAAACTGTTGTATTCTGAGCACCTCTGCAAAAACAGTGATAATGTGTGAGTGTGGTGAAAGTGTTGGAGATGATGAAAGTATTTTCTTTTTGGGGATTTTCTTTCTTTTTTTGGGGCACCCTGCCTCGGTGGGAGACGACCGACTTGTTGAAAAAAAAATCTCTCTCCTCTCTCTCTCTCTCTCTCTCTCTCTTCTATATATATATATTATATATATATATATATATATATATATATATATATATATATATATATATATATATATATATATATATATATATATATATATAAAATATATATATTCATGAAAAATAATTACTAGCAAAATTTTGATGTATGAATTAAATGAAAATAACATGTCTGAGAATTTCTTTTGACGAAATTCGATATTATTCTACAAAAGTCAGCTTCATCCTCATCTCTTGTTTACATAGTGATATGAAGGCAATGCATGCGTTCTCTTGTACCCCGGCAGCTGGAATGAAATGGCTCGCTACGACATGCCGGCTATGCTGGACTACGCACGAAAGGCCTCCGGGGTTGAGAGACTGAGCTACATCGGCCACTCCATGGGAACTTCTCTCTTCTTTGCTATGATGAGCTACCATCCACACATCAACTCATGGGTAAGTCTGGTCACGTTGCTCCTCTACTGTTCTTTGACTTTGTTTACATTCTGAAGATTATCTCTTGATCTGTTTGCAGTGACCAGCACCAGTCAAATATTTTTTAATGTCAAATATGGAGATTAAAGTTAAATATATATATATATATATATATATATATATATATATATAATATATATATATATATATATATATATATATATATATATATAAAATATATATATATATATATTCAAAAACACAAATTAAAGTGGTGGTTTAAAATTGTCATGTAGCCTTAACGTTCCTCAAAAAGTAATATACTGGTATTCGTAACACTACTTTTATTTTGGGGTTTTACTTTTCTGTTAGGTCTAGTTTGTGTATTTTCTTTCTTCATCTTTCTCTCCTGAAGAACTCTGTCATTCAGCTGTTCCATCTTGTTTCACCATCTTTTTCTCCTCTGAAAGACTATATCAGTCTACTGCAGGTCATGTTCTGTCATCTTTCTGACCTTGAAAGACCCCCCGATCTTCTTCAACCATCTTTCTCTTATGAGAGTCCATCAATCTACTATACCATCTTGTTCAACTTTTTTATCATTATTTCAAAACTTTGGTTTATATTATTGGAGGAATTAGTTTTTTTTCAGATTCACGTGTTCTTATTCATCCACATCTGAGACACGTACTTGCACGATGCAAGTACTGCTCTACCTTGTGCTATTTCTGCTACGAGTTACATAATCTGGGCTGAGTTATACACCGTTGTGGGTTGCACATTTCCGGCTATTAGTTACACAAGCGTTGCTATGAGTAGTTATTCTGACTCGTTTTTTTTCGCCATAACAGCAAAACATAAGAAACTTGTAGTGGCAAAATTCTTTCAAACCGCAAAATGATCGGTTTGCTATTTATGCTGCACTTTCAACCAGATTATGCCAAGAATTACAAACATCTTTTCTAACTGATCAGTTACGAAGCTCGTGACACACTAGCGTTTAGAGGACAGAAAATGGTTTGAGAAAGTTTATCTTCTTACAAGGAAGTGCAATGGAAAATCCCAGCAATAAAGCATCTTTTTTTTCACTTCTTTGAGATTCCTGCTGGAAAGATTAATAACTTAAACTTTAATGCTGTTATGGAGGGAAGGAGTGTGTGAGGGAGAGTCAACTTAAGTTAATGTGTTCCACTGAGGGAAGCATGGTGGACGTTAGGCGGAGATGGGAAGATTGATGAAAGTGAGGATATTGACAAGAAGAAATTGTGTGTGAGGAAATGGAGCAGATGCGGGAAGGAAATTAATGGATAATCAGATAAAGTGAGAAGGGAAACGAGGAGATACACGTGAATAACCACGGAAATAGTGTAAAATGAATAAATGCTCCGCGTAGTATTTTTTCGGAGGTCAACTCCCCCGCGGCCCGATCCCAGACCAGGCCTCCTGGTGGATCAAGGCCTGATCAACTAGCCTGTTATTGCTGGCAACATGCACTTCACAGTACGAACCACAGACTGAATGGATTTTTCAAGTTCCCTCTTGAAGACAACGAGGAGACTACTGAAGAGTCGTGGGCCTCTTACGTTTATTGTGTACTTAATGTACTCATGGCACTCCATCACTTCACTGGGAGCATTTTCACTGAAAAAAATATTGTAGGAAAATGCAAAATAATTGGACGAAGGATATACTAGCAATGAGATGTTGTAAGTTATGCCTATTACTTGCACAAATATTTATTTTACCTATTTTCGACTGTTGCTCCCTTAGCGAGCGCTTCTTCCTCTTCCCCCTCTTCTTTCTCTTCATGGTTTAAAATAGAAAAAAAAACACATACGATTTAAATCGAAAAAAACAACCACATCACTGTTTAAACTCGGGAAAAGGCACATCATGATCTGAAGAGCAAAAACATATCGCGACTAAAAAAAAAAATACACATGACGGTTTAAAATCAGAAAAACTCACTAATCATCAGTATAAGGAAACGGTGAAACAGAGAAGTGTAAAATTGAACTACCTTTAATGTACATTAACAGAGTGTACAGGAAGAAGACTGGAGTAACAGATCAGAATACACCATACTTCATGACAAAGGTTGAGTACACCGGCAGGTGTATTTTTCGGAGAGTTAAGTTTAATTCCTGTTTTAGGGCTTCAAGTATTCTTGACCGGTGTTGACAAGGTTACCACGCAGCCTGAATGACCTTGTTGCAGGATACAGGCTTCAAACCCCATTTACCTACCAACCAGTTAACGCCACGGATTACATCCATGATACCATATCTGAAATGTAAGCTGACCAGTGCACGTGTGAAAGGGAGAGTATACCTGGAGTATACCTGGAGAATACCTGGAGAGGGTTTCGGTGGTCAACTCCCCCACGGCCCGGTCTGTGACCAGGCCTCATTACGCCACTACTGGAGCAGTTGAATACAGATGCAAACATCATACAATATTATAATTTTCCTCCTCACTCCACTCCTGCCGCCAGTAACTCCTCACTCCACTCCTGCCACCAGTAACTCCTCACTCCACTCCTGCCACCAGTAACTCCTCACTCCACTCCTGCCACCAGTAACTCCTCACTCCACTCCTGCCACCAGTAACTCCTCACTCCACTCCTGCCATCATGTGTCATCAACCTCCACCTGATTAGTGTTTTTTTCTCTCAGATCAGCGCGATGGCCGCCCACGCACCAGCTGCCTATGTTTACCACAAGTACATTATGGCCTCTGTCCTGGCTCCCTTCTTTGCAGGGGCCGAGGTAAGTAATATATATGTTATATATATATATATATATATATATATATATATATATATATATATATATATATATATAATATATATATATTATATATATATATATATATATATATAATATTATATTATATATATATATATATATATGCAAAACAACCACTCTGAAAGAATAGAGAAATTCCAAGCGCTTTCGTGACTACTCACATTATAAAGGAACAATGAAAGTAAAGCATCCAAGGAAGCTATATAAGGGGTCTGGCCAGCACCTCACTATCAGATCCCACAACGGTTAAACACCTGACGCGCGCCGACCCAACTTGGATAGGTCCTTTGCACAACTCACCCACAAACTATTCTACCCAAGAAAATTTAAAAATTATTATTTGTCCAGTGTATTATTAAATTCTTCCCAAATTCTATTAATTATAAATGGATCTAATTTATATGAACCAAAGGAAATATTCATATTATTGTCAAAACTGCTTTTTATGAAACAAGATTCAATTATATTCCTGTCGACCATGGACTTGCTTGATACTACTTTCTCAACTTTTTGAAAATCAGTTGGATGTTTAAAATCTCTTACATGAATAAATAGAGCATTGGAATCTTGTCCAGTTCTAATGCTATATTTATGTTGTTTTAATCTTAGTTCGAGATTTTTACCAGTTTGACCGTAATAAACTTTATCGCAAATTTTACAAGGAATCTTATAGACACATCCATCAGCATTTTGGGGGGAAGTCTTTATCAAAAGTTTTTTTACTGTATCAAGATTTTTGAATACAACTTTAATATTAAAAGTCTTAAGAAGAGAAGGCATATCAACCAAGTTTTCATGGTAAGGGAGAACCAACATATTTTTAGTTGAATAAGGCTGGTTGTCCCTTTTTGGATTGTAAAAAGTATTTCTAGCAACTTTAAAAGATTTATCAATTACATTTCTTGGGTATTTTAAATCATTACCTATTTCATAAATTTTGGATATTTCCTCATCTATGAACTCAGGACTACAAATTCGTAAAGCTCTCAAAAACATTGATGAGAAAACAGACAGTTTGACTCTATCTTGATGCGAGGAATAATAGTGGATATAGGAACAGTTATTTGTAGGTTTTCTGTAAAGTTTAAATTTGAATTCATTATTACCCTTAATAATTAAAACATCTAGAAAAGGCAATGAGTTATTTTCTTCAAACTCAACAGTAAAGTTTATAGAATGGGCTAAGCTATTTAATTTTCCAAGGAAATGGTGTATATCTACATTTTTGTGCATAAGACACAAAATATCATCAACATATCTGAACCATTTAGCTCTATTAGGGAGGATTGTGTTAAGCAACCTTGTTTCAAAAAATTCCATGTATAGGTTACTAAGAACAGGTGAAAGAGGATTTCCCATTGCAATACCAAACTTCTGAGTGTAAAACTTATCATTCTGGAGAGTTTATCTGGAGAGAGTTCCGGGGGTCAACGCCCCCGCGACCCGGTCTGTGACCAGGCCTCCTTAGGTCAGTGTCCCAGGATGCGACCCACACCAGTCGACTAACACCCAGGTACCCATTTTACTGATGGGGAACATAGACAACAGGTGGAAAGAAACACGTCCAATGTTTCTACTCTGGCTGGGAATCGAACCCAGGCCCTCGTCGTGTGAAGCGAGAGCGTTAACCACCAGGCTACCAGAGCCCCCTAAATACAAATTTTGCATCAACAATGCAAAGTTTAATAAGTTTAATGATAGTAGGAACTGGCAATGGTAAATCATAGTTAACGAGTTCTTCAGATAAGAAACTTAATAAATCATCAACAGGAACTTTCGTAAACAAGGAAGTAACATCAAAACTAACCATGTTAAAATCATTTAAGTCAGTCAAGGAACTTAATTTATCAACCAAGTCTATGTTGTTTTTAACATTAAAGTTAGAAATTTTGCCAACAATAGGGCTCAAAATATCAACAAGCCATTTGGATAATTTATATGAAACTGACCCTATGGAACTAATAATTGGTCTGACTGGATTCCCTGGTTTGTGTGTTTTTATTAGTCCATACACTAATAAATACACTGAACAAATAATAATTTTTAAATTTTCTTGGGTAGAATAGTTTGTGGGTGAGTTGTGCAAAGGACCTATCCAAGTTGGGTCGGCGCGCGTCAGGTGTTTAACCGTTGTGGGATCTGATAGTGAAGTGCTGGCCAGACCCCTTATATAGCTTCCTTGGATGCTTTACTTTCATAGTTCCTTGATAATGTGAGTAGTCACGAAAGCGCTTGGAATTTCTCTATTCTTTCAGAGTGGTTGTTTTGCATATTCTGAAATCACCTGTTTACTGTGATCTTATTGCATATATATATATATATATATATATATATATATATATATATATATATATATATATATATATATAATATACATATATATATATATATATGTGTGTGTGTTATATATATATAATATATATATATATATATATATAATATTATATATATATATATATATATGTGTTATATATATATATATAATATATATATATATATATATATATATATATATATATATAGCTTAACAATTCGCAAAGAGGCGAAATTATTTACAAACATTGTCTCTACGTCCACAGCAGGACTCGAACCTGCTAACTCTGTATCAGAGTCCACAGTACTTTACCGATGAGCTAGACCCAAGATAAGTATGGGTGCTTAGCCGAAGCTAAGCGAGTCCTGCTGTGGACGTAGATACAATGTTATATATATATATATATATATATAATATATATATATAATATATATATATATAATATATATATATATATATATATATATATATATATATATATATCGTGCCGAATAGGTAAAACTTTCGATTTTGGCTTAAATAGCAACTTTCTTCTTGCCGAATAGGGCAAGCGATAATTTGTGTTTGCAATAATTTCGCATAAATCATTGTGAACCTACCGAAAAAAAATATATTTCATTGTATGTTTATTATTAAATTATTGTAAACTTATCTTAAATATATTTAGTTGGATTAGGCTAAATTATATTGATAAAATTAGACACATGTGCAACACTTGGGTATTAAGATTCCAAGATGTTCCTGTGTCTGACAGGAATGTGGATAAATAGTTCAGAGAACCGACAAGTTGATAAATTCGACACATGTGCAACACAAATTGATAAATTAGACACATTTGCAACGCGTCTCTGAACCATTTATCTAGATTCCTGTCAGACACAGGAACATCTTGGGATCTTAATACAGGAAGTCTTCACTTGCCTAACCTTTAGACATGACCTACTTTCACGTTTGGATTTGTCAAATGTGATACCACCTATGACTGCTACACCTCACGTGCCTACAGTATAGAAGTCACTACTTCGAACATATGCTGTATTCTTTTCAAGGCTGAGGGACTGATTACCTCAAACTCCTCCCGTTCTTCACCGTTATCCTTTGTATGGACTAATAAAGCCACTGTGTGGCGAAACGTTTCCTCGTTAAAGATAACCAACTGTTGCACATGTGTCTAATTTATCAACTTATCTGTTCTTTGAACCAATTGTGCAAGTTATAATAAGGTTACGTAAGTTTTCTAAGGTTCTTCTTGTATGTTTTTATGTTTAAACGTATAATGGAAAACTTTAGAAAGAACTTAATTTAAAATGAGTTCTTGGTAATTGACCAATTTTACCTATCTGGCACACGACATATGTTTTCCCGGGAAGATGGAGGGAATATTTTGAGGAACTGTTAAATGTTGATGAAGATAGGGAAGCTGTGATTTCGTGTATAGGGCTATGAGGAATAACATCTTTTAGGAGTGAGGAAGAGCCAGTTGTGAGTGTGGGGGAAGTTCGTGAGGCAGTGGGTAGAATGAAAGGGGGTAAGGCAGCTGGGATTGATGGGATAAAGATAGAAATGTTAAAAGTAGGTGGGGATATAGTTTTGGAGTGGTTGGTGCAATTATTTAATAACTGTATGGAAGAGGGTAAGGTACCTAGGGATTGGCAGAGTGCATGCATAGTTCCTTTGTATAAAGGCAAAGGAGACAAAAGAGAGCGGAAAAATTATAGGGAAATAAGTCTGTTGAGTATACCTGGTAAAGTGTACGGTAGAGTTATTATTGAAAGAATTAAGAGTAAGACGGAGAGTAGGATAGCAGATGAACAAGGAGGCTTTAGGAAAGGTAGGGGATGTGTAGACCAAGTGTTTACAGTGAAACATATAGGTGAACAGTATTTAGATAAGAGTAAAGAGGTTTTTGTGGCATTAATGGATTTGAAAAAGGCATATGATAGGGTGGATAGGGAGGCAATGTGGCAGATGTTGCAGGTGTATGGTATAGGAGGTAAGTTACTGAAAGCAGTGAAGAGTTTTTACGAGGATAGTGAGGTTCAGGTTAGAGTATGTACGAGAGAGGGAGATTATTTCCTAGTAAAAGTAGGCCTTAGACAAGGATGTTTGATGTCACCGTGGCTGTTCAGTATATTTATAGATGAGGTTGTACGAGAAGTGAATGCCAGGATCTTGGCAAGAGTTGTGGAGCTAGAAGATAAAGAATCAAACACAAAGTGGGAGTTGTCACAGTTGCTCTTTGTTGATGACACTGTGCTTTTGGGAGATTCTGAAGAGAAGTTGCAGAGGTTGGTGGATGAATTTGGTAGGGTATGTAAAAGAAGAAAATTAAAAGTGAATATAGGAAAGATTAAGGTGATGAGGATAATGAAAAGATTAAGTGACGAAAGATTGGATATCAGATTAGAGGGAGAGAGTATGGAGGAAGTGAATGTATTCAGATATTTAGGAGTGGACGTGTCAGCGGATGGGTCTGTGAAGGATGAGGTGAATCATAGAATTGATGAGGGGAAAAGGGTGAGTGTTGCACTTAGGGGTCTGTGGAGGCAAAAAACTTTGTCTGTGGAAGCAAAGAGGGGAATGTAGGAAAGTATAGTTATACCAGCACTCTTATATGGGTGTGAAACATGGGTGATGAATGTTGCAACGAGAAGGCTGGAGGCAGTGGAGATGTCATACCTGAAGGCAATGTGTGGTGTGAATATAATGCAGAGAATTCGTAGTTTGGAAATTAAGAGGAGGTGCGGGATTACCAAAACTATTATCCAGAGGGCTGAGGAAGGGTTGTTGAGGTGGTTCGGACATGTAGAGAGAATGGAACAAAACAGAATGACTTCGAGAGTGTATAAATCTGTAGTGGAGGGAAGGCAGGGTAGGAGTCGGCCTTGGAAAGGTTGGAGGGAGGGGGTAAAGGAGGTTTTGTGAGCGAGGGGCTTGGACTTCCAGCAGGCATGCGTGAGTGTATTTGATAGGAGTGAATGGAGGCAAATGGTTTTTAATACTTGACGTGCTGTTGGAGTGTGAAGAAAGTAACATTTATGAAGGAATTCAGGGAAACCGGCAGGCCGGACTTGAGTCCTGGAGATGGGAAGTACAGTGCCTGCACTCTGAAGGAGGGATGTTAATGTTGCAGTTTTGTAACTGTAGTGTAAAGCAACCCTTTGGCAAGACAGTGATGGAGTGGATGATAAAAGTTTTTCTTTTTCGGGCCACCCTGCCTTGGTGGGAATCGGCCGATGCGTTAATAAAAAAAATTATATATATAATATATATATATATATATATATATATATATATATAATATATATTATATATAATATATATATATTATATATATATATATATCAGTGGTCAGTATGCTGAAGTCAGTAGTCACGAAAGGTCATCCTGTCCTAGCTGTCTGGGGGACTAGTGTAGAGTGTTAAGAGCACCATGACTTGTTGTAGTGTTTTGGAATCTTAGGTTAAAGTGTTGAAGGAGAAGGTTCTACTTCTCCAAGAGGAAAATATGAGGCGGGAAATTCGCCTAGATGAGAGTGTGTGTGTGAATGGTGGAGTCTGTGTGAAGGAAAAGGTTACCAACAGTGAGTTGAAGAGTGGCAACAACTTTAAGTGGAATGTGGTATTCACTAAAAGTAGATGTATCAAGATTAGGATGGGCGACTCACAGGTAAGATATATGGACCGTGCTTTCCGTAACAGAGATAGGAACATTAGATAGAGAGTGTGCTTCCCAAGAGCTGGTGTTGATGACATAGTCAACATGTTGGATAATACTATGACAAGTAATGGGAACAAGCCCATCATCTGTCTTAGTGCTGGTGGAAATGACATAGGGAAGGGCAGGGAACAAGAGCTGCTCGATAAGTACAACTCAGCCATAGATGTAATTAGGTCTAAGAGAGGGGTCCCAGTCATATGTAGCATCTTGCCTAGAAAGGGGTGGGCAGTGAATGGACGTCTAGGGAAATTGGTGTAAATTGCTGGCTAGACAGGTACTGCAGGGTATTTGAAATCCAATTCATTAATAACTGGGACAAATTTTATGGCAAACGTGATATGTATACAAGGGATGGGGTACACCTCTCAGGGGTCACAATGGTTGCATTAGCCAACTCGATTGAGGGGACTATTGCTGACTTGTCTAGGACTTCAAACTGATAGATTATAGAGGTATGGGTGTGTGTGGGAAACAATCAAGCTGCAGTCAAGGTTTGAAAAACAGCAGATAGTACCAGGATACCTCAGGGATATGTTTCATAGACAATATTCAAAATAAAGCTGCTTGTAAGGGCAAAGCAATTAATCAACAAAGAGTGACATTAGAGGGCAGAGAGTGACTAGCTCCCTTAAGGTTTACTGTACTAATAGTAATAGTTACTATACTAATAGTAAACCTTAAGAAGTAAGACAGATGAGATAAGATTACTTGCATGTGCAAGTAATATAGATATTATTGCTATAACAGAAATCTGTTCAACCTGAAATATAGAGAAATACCATTTGAATACCACATACAAGCCTACAAACTATTCCTCATAGGAGGGTGGTGGAGTGGCGATGTATGTCAGAGATAATTTAAATTGTTGTATTAGATCAGACAGAAGCATCAGACAGAATGTGTTTGGTACAGTTTCTCGAGGATCATGACAAATTAATTTTGGGTGTGATTTATAAGCTCCCAATTCATGATAGCGAGTACAGAAAGCTACTATGGAACAAAATTCATAAGGCATTTAGAAATGAAAATGTCGTGATAATGGGTAATTTTAACTTTAGACAAATTGATTGGAACAATATGACAGTAAATCTCAAGTCTAGCAACTTTCGCGATACGATTGAGGATTGCTTTTTAAAACAGTTTGTGACAGAACCAACTAGAGAAAACAATCTTCTTGACTTGGTTCTTGCCAACAAAGAATCACTACTTAATAATCTTTAGGTTAATGATGAGACTGGGGAAAGCGATCACAAATCACTTAGATTCAATATATCATGGAATTTCCCAAATAACTGCAATTAAGTCTCTGTCCCAGACTTCCACTTGGTAGGTTTCATGGGACTGAGAAATTACCTGGGTGAGCTAAATTGGAACGACCTGACAATGGGTCAGGTAGATGGTGTTTGTTGCCAATATGACGTTTTTCAGAGCATTGCTCTAGCTACCCAGACAACTTATGTTCCAAGTAGGGCAATTAGATCAACCAAAAATTATCCCAAGTGGATATACAACAGATTAAAACATCTCATTGGTCTAAAAAGAGGCATATATAGGTGTATCAAAAGAGAGGATGGGCAGTTAAGAAATTAATATATTAAATTAAAGAGAGAAATAAAAAAAAAGGGAATGAGAAAAGCTAAAAGAGATTATGAGGCTAAAGTGGCAAGGGATTCGACGAATAAAACAAAAGGCTTCTTTCAGGTATATAGAAGCAAGATTAGGGACAAAAGTAACTCAGGTCAGACCACTGACAGTGATAAGGAAATGTGTGAAATTTTTAACTCTTACTTCCTCTCAGTTTTTACGTAGGAAGATACTAACGACACTCCAGAAATAATAAGTTATGTAGAACAGGATGATATAACAAACTATGCACGATTTGATTAACAAGTGACATGGTCTTCTGACAAATCAAGAAATTAAAACTGAACAAATCCCGAGACCCTGATGAACTGTTTGCAAGGGTTTTAAAGGAATATAAAGATGAGCTTAGCAAACCTCTGGCTAGTCTTTTCAACTTATCACTACAAACTAGCATAGTACCAGACAAGTGGAAAATGGCAAACGAAATACCTATTTACAAAGCAGGTGACAGGTCCTTAGCTTAGAACTATGAATCAATAATTGCCGAGGCAATTCGAAGCCATCTTGAAAAGCATAAAATGTTTAATGAATCTCTGCACGGTTTTACAAAGGTGCGTTCCTGCCTTAAGAATTTGCTAACTTTTTTTCACCAAGTTATTTGAAGAGGTAGATCATGGTAATGAATACGATATTGTGTATATGGACTTTAATAAGACTTTTGATAGAGTTCCACATCAGAGGCTATTGATGAAAATTAAAGCACACAGAACAGGAGGAGAAATATTTTCCTGGGTAGAGGCGTGGTTGACAGATAGGTAACAGAGAGTTTGCATCACTGGGGAGAAATCAGAGTGGGGGAGCGTCACAAGTGGTGTTCCACAGGGGTCAGTGTTGAATCCTTTGTTATTCACAATTTATATAAACGACACTGATGAGGGAATAAATAGCGACATAAGCAAGTTTGCTGATAACACCAAAATAAGTCGCCTAATTCGTTCTAATGAGGACATTAGAGCATTCCAAGAAGATATGAATAGACTGATGCAGTGGTCGGAGAAGTAGCAGATGCAGTTTAATGTAGACAAATGCAAGGTTCTAAACATTGGACAAGAAATTAACCATGCCACATATAAACTAAATAATGTAGAGCTTAATATTACTGATTGCGAAAAAGATTTGGGAGTTTTGGTTAGCAGTAACCTGAAACTAAGACACCAGTGATAAGTGTTCGCAAGAAAGCGAACAGAATCCTTGGCTTAATATCAAGGAGCATAAATAATAGGAGTCTTTGGTTATGCCTCATTTAGATTATGCTGCGCAGTTTTTGTCTCCGTATTACACAATGGATATAAATGCAATGGAAAACGTACAAAGGAGGATGACTAATTTGATCCCATGTATCAGAAATCTTCCCTATGAGCCTAGACTGAGGGCCCTGAATCTGTACTCTCTGGAAAGGCGTAAAATTAGGAGGGATATGACTGAGGTGTATAAATGGAAAACAAGAATGAATAAAGGGGATGTATATAGCGTGCTAAAAATATTTAGCCAAGAAAGGAATCGAAGCAAATGTTTTAAGTTGAAAAAATTCGGATTCAGGAAGGATATAGGAAAGCACTGGTTTGGTAACAGAGTTGTGGATGAGTGGAACAAACTCCCGAGTACCGTCATAGAGGTTAAGACCTTGTGTAGTTTTAAAAATAGGTTGGATAAATACATGTGTGGGTGTGGGTGAGTGTGAGCTGGACCTGACTAAATTGTGCTTATAAGTCTGATGCCATGCTCTTTAAGCGGATGTTATCTGACCTGACTATGTTGGTCATTGGTTTAAGCCTACTCCACGTAATGTTTGTAGTCCGTAGCATGAATACAGATTAAGTGTTCTGCACATTTATTTAAAATAATTCGGCTCTCTGACCATCCCTGAGGCTCCCGTGTTGTAAATTGCAGAAAGAGCTCCGTAAACACGGCATCATGGAGATCTTCCGCCTCACGCAAGAGAACTCCAAGAAGGCTTCAGACATGTGTGAACCCAAATCCCTCACCAGCTTCCTGTGTATCCTTATGTACTTTATCGGCGGCGGACCTAACTCCAACTACCTGGATAAGGTAAGCATTACCCACGTCTCCTGAAGCTTGCAACCCGTTCTCCACCCAAAACAATAAGCAGATACAGACGACAGGTAGGTTCGCCAGGACGGGTAGTGGCCTGGGTCTTCTCATGCGGTAATTCGGCAAAGAAAAAAACGGTCGTGTGGATAACAATTATTTAACCGAAGTCGATTTCGTACCTTTCCATCCGCAACATCCCCACTGCCAGACGTACACACACGTAAATAATTTCTATATAGATGCTTAATTATGCGTAAACATGATAAGCTGATATAAATTTGCCCTAATCTAACCTATAGAAATTAATATTGATTTTTTTATCCCGGCTTAGACGTGCAAATACTGATATATTACATGTTAAACAAACAAAAAAATACTTCAGGTAAGAGAATCCCAGACAACAGTTGTACCAGACAACAGTTGTACCAGACAACAGTTGTACCAGACAACAGTTGTACCAGACAACAGTTGTACCAGACAACAGTTGTACCAGACAACTGTTGCACCAGACAACTGTTGTACCAGACAACAGTTGTACCAGACAACAGTTGTACCAGACAACAGTTGTACCAGACAACAGTTGTACCAGACAACAGTTGTACCAGACAGTAACAGTTTGTACCAGACAACAGTTTCTACCAGACAACTGTTGCACCAGACAACATGTTGCAAACCAGACAACAATTGTACTAGACAACAGTTGTACCAGACAACAGTTGTACCAGACCACTGTTGTACCAGACAACAGTTGTACCAGACAACTGTTGTACCAGACAACTGTTGTACCAGACAACTGTTGTCTGGTACAACAGTTGTACCAGACAACTGGTATACCAGACAACTGTTGTACCAGACAACAGTTGTACCAGACAACTGGTGTAAGAGACAACTGTTGTAACAGACAACTGTTGTACCAGACAACTGTTGTACCAGACAACAGTTGTACCAGACAACTGGTGTAATAGACAACTGTTGTAACAGACAACTGTTGTACCAGACAACTGTTGTACCAGACAACAGTTGTACCAGACAACTGGTGTACCAGATAACTGTTGTAACAGACAACTATTGTACCAGACAACAGTTGTACCAGACAACAGTTGTACCAGACAACAATTGTACCAGACAACAGTTGTACCAGACAACTGTTGCACCAGACAACAGTTGTACTAGACAACAGTTGTACCAGACAACAGTTGTACCAGACAACTGTTGTACCAGACAACTGTTGTACCAGACAACAGTTGTACCAGACAACTGCTGTACCAGACAACTATTGTACCAGACAACAGTTCTACCAGACAACTGTTGTACCAGACAACAGTTGTACCAGACAACTGTTGTACCTGACAACAGTTGTACCAGACAACTGTTGTACCAGACAACAGTTGTACTAGACAACAGTTGTACCAGACAACAGTTGTACCAGACAACTGTTGTACCAGACAACTGTTGTACCAGACAACAGTTGTACCAGACAACTGCTGTACCAAACAACTATTGTACCAGACAACAGTTCTACCAGACAACTGTTGTACCAGACAACAGTTGTACCAGACAACTGTTGTACCTGACAACAGTTGTACCAGACAACTGTTGTACCAGACAACTTTTGTACCAGACAACAGTTGTACCAGATAACTATTGTATGAGACAACTATTGCACCTGATATTCACAGTGCCAGACAACAGTTGTACCAGACAACTGTTGTACCTGACAACAGTTGTACCAGACAACTGTTGTACCAGACAACTGTTGTACCAGACAACAGTTGTACCAGACAACTACTGTAGTAGACAACTATTGCACCTGATATTCACTGTGCCAGACAACAGTTGTACCAGACAACAGTTTTACCAGACCACTTTTGTACCAGGCAATTGCTGTACCAGACAACTACAGTACCAGACAACTATTGTACCAGACAACAGTTGTACCAGTCAACAGTTGTACCAGCCAATAGTTGTACCAGACAACTGTTTTATCAGACAACTGTTGTACCAGACAACTGTTGTATCAGACAAGAGTTCTACCAGACAACTATTGTACCAGACAGCTGTTGTGCCGAGCAACTGCTGTACCAGACAACTTTTGCGCCAGACAACTGTTGTACAACACAACTGTTGTACCAGACAACTGTTGTACAGCACAACTGTTGTACCAGGCAACTGTTGTTTCAGACAGGAATTGTACCATATAACTGTTGTACCAGACAAGAATTGTACCAGACAACTGTAGTACAACACAACTGTTGTGCCAGACCACTGTTGTGCCAGACAACTGTTGTACCAGACAACTGTTGTGCCAGATAACAGCTGTATCAGACAACTGTTGTACCTGAGAACTGTTGTACCAGATAACTGTTGTACCAGACAACTGTTGTACCAGACGACAGTTGTACCAAACAACTATTGTACCAGACAACTACTGTACGAGACAACTATTGCACCTGATATCCACTGTGATACAACTGTTGTACCAGACAACTGTTGTATCAGACAACTGTTGTACCAGACAACTGTTGTACCAGACAACTGTTGTACCAGACAACTGTTGTACCAGACAACGTTTGTACCAGGCAATTACTGTACCAGACAACTACTGTACCAGACAACTATTGTACCAGACAACAGTTGTACCAGTCAACAGTTGTACCAGACAACAGTTGTACCAGACAACTATTGTGCCAGACAAGAGATGTACCAAACAACTGTTGTAACAAACAACTTTTGTACAAGACAACAGTTGTACCGGACAACATTTGTACCAGACAACTGTTGTACCAGACAACTGTTCTGCAAGACAACAGTTGTACCAAACAACAGTTGTACCTCATAGCTGTTTTACCAAGCAACATTTGTACCAGACAACAGTTGTGCCAGACAACAATTGTACCAGAGAAAAGATGTACCAGGGAACTGTTGTACCTCAAAACTGTTGTACCAAGCAACATTTGTACCAGACAACTGTTGTACCAGACAACTGTTGTATCAGACAACTGTTGTACCAGACAACTGTTGTACCAGACAACTGTTGTACCAGACAACTGTTGTACCAGACAACTGTTGTACCGGACAACTGTTGTACCAGGCAACTGTTGTATCAGACAAGAGTTGTACCAGACAACTGTTGTACCTGACAGCTGTTGTACCAGGCAACTGTTGTACCAGACAACTGTTGTACCAGACAACTGTTGTACCAGACAACTGTTGTACCAGACAACTGTTGTACCAGACGACTGTTGTACCAGACAACTGTTGTACCAGACAACTGTTGTACCAGACAACTGTTGTACCAGACGACTGTTGTGCATGATAACTGTTATACAACACAACAGTTGTACCAGACAACTGTTGTACTAGACCACTGTTGTACCAGACAACAGCTGTATCAGACAAATGTTGTACCTGGGAATTGTTGTACCAGAGAACTGTTGTACCAGACAACTGTTGTACCAGACAACAGTTGTACCAGACAACTACTCTACGAGACAACTATTGCACCTGATATCCTCTGTGCCAGACAACAGTTGTACCAGACAAAAGCTGTACCAGACAACTTTTGTACCAGGCAACTACTGTACTAGACAACTACTGTACCAGACAACTATTGTACCATACAGCAGTTGTACCAGTCAACAGTTATACCAGGCAACAGTTGTACCAGACAACTGTTGTACCAGACAACAGTTGTACCAGACATCTATTGTACCAGACAACTATTGTACCATACAGCAGTTGTACCAGTCAACAGTTGTACCAGGCAACAGTTGTACCAGACAACTGTTGTGCCAGACAAGAGATGTACCAGACAACTGTTGTAACAGGCAACCATTGTGCCAGACAACAGTTGTACCAGACAACCACTGTACCAGACAGCAGTTGTACCAGACAACCACTGTACCAGACAGCAGTTGTACCAGACAACTACTCTACCAGACAACAATTGCACCAGACAAGAGTTGTACCTGACAATTATTGTTCCAGACAAGTACTGTTCCAGACTACTGTTGTACCAGACAACAGTTGTACCTGACAACAGTTGTACCAGACAACTATTGTACCAGATAACTACTGTACCATACTACTGTTGTACTAGACAACAGTTGTACCAGACAGCAGTTGTACCAGACAACTCTTGTACCAGACAACTACTGTACCAGACTACTGTTGTTCCAGACAACAGTTGTCTAGTATACATAACTGTTGTATAATATATACTCAACTGTTTTATTGTATAATCAACTGTTTTATAGTGTATACCTCTGTTTTATAGTGTACACAACTGTTACATAGTACACACAACTGGTGTATAGTATGCACAAATGTATGATATTCACAACTTTCACAGTATACACTACTGTTGCATGGTAAAACTGCTGTATATTACGCACAACTGTTGCGTAATATACACACCTCTTCTTTAGTATACACAACTGCTGTATAACAAGCACTAGTGTTGCAGTGTTTGCAAAACTCTTGTATAATATACATATCTCTTGTATAGGGAATGCAACTGTTGTATACTGTACACAGCTGTTTTATAGCACGTACTACTGTTATATAGTATACACTACTGTTGAAGAGTATACATAAATTCTGCTTAATATTAACTACTTTTGCATAGTATACACTTCTGTTGAATAGTATACTCAACTGTTGCATAGTATATACAACTCTTGTCTAGTAGTATACACAAATCTTGTATAATATACACAAGTTTTGTACAGTATACACAGTAGGGTCATTAAGGCTGCTCGTCACCTGTTTACCACCGAAAGAATAATATAATTCCACACAAAAAGTTATTTAGGCACCCTATCATTCTATACATACTGATAAACTTGCTCCTCTTTATATATATACCGATCTTTTCAATATATCGCTGACCTGACACTTCTCACACCTGACGTATCTTCTCCCATACATAATGTGCATTTCTCACGTTCTGGATGGGACTTATAAAGCTCCCAGTGAGCATAACTTTTCTGTTTGAA